GTCATAACCCAAAGACTACCTGTAATCTCTCTCACCCCAATGCACCTCACAGGGTTGCTGTTATGGGAAAAATAGGAGAAAGGGACAATACACCTTGAGTTGTAGAAAATAAAGGTGGATATAAATTATACATATAATCTTGCTGATTTAGACCAGTGTTTCCTAATCACAACTCACTAAAAATAAGATTTGGAGTCAGCAAGATTATATGTATAATTTATATCCACCTTTATTTTCTACCTTGAGTTGTAGAAAATAAAGGTGGATATAAATTATACATATAATCTTGCTGATTTAGACCAGTGTTTCCTAATCACAACTCACTAAAAATAAGATTTGGAGTCAGCACAGGATCAGGCAAGGAGAGATATGCAAAGACCATAGGATTTTCAACCTTACTCTGTTAAATGTCTATATAGTAAAATCAATTCAGTATCAATTCCCACATAACTTTTGAGATATTGGGAGAAAGTTACAGTACATCTGTTAAACAAATGATACACTATCATTAATCAGAAGAGAAGACTCCCACAAATAAAATTTCAGTTTTAATTAATCACAAAAAGACACTTATTTACTTCTGTTATTCATAAGGTAGCCATCAGTGCTAATCACCTCCTTTTTGCTGAGCTGCATTTATTAAGTCTGGCTTGATTTTTCTCCCTAGCAATCAAGCACTCAATTACCCATTCTAATTCCACTGTAACATTTCTAAATCTAATGACATGTTTCAAGAGTACTTTAATAGTGTAAATGTGCCCTTTTTTCATCTATCTCCAAGTCAGTAAGTATCTCATAATTTATCTGTGACAAATAGTTATGTCGGTAAGGTTTTTTTTTTTCCTGGTTAAAGTTTCATTCATCATTTAAACACAATTAGGAAAGTCAGATGTAAAAGGAGGCAGGGTTCCCCCACTGTGAACTGCTGTACAGTATAGAAAACGGAATTTCAACAGCTTTAGCTTACATAACAATCCTGCCCAAAAAGTTAACATCGAAATGTTAAATGGTGCGTCAGGAGGCGGATCTCAGTTTCTCAGAACAGACTTTCTACAGTACTTGTCTCATAAATGCAAAGCTAACATTTGTACGCCTGATAACTACTTCCTCTGAACTGGTCTTACTTCAGGCGAAAGAAATTATGCTACCGTAGAAGAACGCAGGTATTAGCTTTCTGTCACCTGGGCGGTCATGAGAGGCATCGCAGGCGTCGTTAAAACAAACAGGCGCTGCCGCGCTCAGGTTACAATAAGGAACTCGGCTCGGAGGGAGTTACTTCCCCAGGCGCTCAGGGTTAGGGAGGATTCTCCACGCCCCTTTACCCATTGTCAGGGCCACCTCGGCAGTTTCCGCTCCCGCCTCGGCTCCTTTCGCCTGGTTACTCTCCGCCCTATGGGAGAAAGTCGGAAAGTTTCGGGAGTGCTGCTGATTCTTCCGGGACCCGCTTCGGGAGTTCCGCGCAGCAACCCGACAACTCACCTGGGGAAGCCGCAGCCCCCGCAGACTTCTTCCTAGGCAGCATCTGAGGGTAAGATCGAGCCTGCCCCCGCGCTTGAACGGCGCTGCTCCGAGTGCGACGAATGCAAAACTTCGTCCGCGCCGGGAGCTGGGGAAAGGAAACTGCTTGGCGGGGGAGCTGTGTAGCCCGTGGAAAGGCGAGAAACGCGTGCGTGTTCGGGGAGGTTAGATTAAGACAAGCATATTTGCCTGTCTCCGAGGCGCCCCATCCTCCGTCCGCTTTCATTTGGGTGGGGAGGCGGAGAGGTCCGGGAGGAGCAGCTTGTATAGGTACCTCGCGCGTGAAAAGAGTTGCAAGATATGCGCGTAGAGGGTGTGTGTGAACTACAGCCGTTCCAGCGTGTAAAGTTGGCTGGGATTTGAGAAGCCGACAGATTCCGGATTTGCTGGTAAACGGGGATGGGGGGCGGGGGAGAAGAGGAGCGGAGCACGAGGGGCTGCGGGAGACCCAATCGGGGGGCTGCCCTGGGGATCTGGAGGAGCACCTCCCTGGAGACAGCGCGGTCGCCTCACTCGCTCCCTTTTGTT